CTATATCGTTCCACTTTCTGAAAGACATTCTTTACCTTTTCTACTTCTCCAAGTTTTCTGATACATTTGTGGATCAGGGGAAAAAAGGGTGTCCAGGAGAGAATTGTGAATGAAGTGAAAACACTCTACAAAAATCAAAGTCGCAGCTTCTTAGTTGAAAAGTGGGATAAAAAACAGAGCAGTTTCTGAAATGTTCCTATGAAAACTGTGGATGAGCCATCTACATTTCTGAAAAACAACTTACAAGGAAGAAGTGAGGTGAAGGGTGCTGACTCCCTAAATTTGAAACATGGGTGCAAAAGGAAAAAAAAATGTGCTAATCCAGATAAAATATCAAATTGGGACCAGTTTAATATTTATGGATGGCTCAGTTCTCCACTGTAAGCTGCTAAGTACGACTAGCTAAGCTGAAGGTCTGTCTGTGGCCTTGTCAGTTTAAATTGACAAATTGCTTCTACAAGTCGGCTGAAAACAATGGGCATTTCATTGCTGATTACTCTGCAAAAGTAGTGATCAGCCAGGAAATATTATTTAAAGGAGGGGGGAGGGAGAGAAAGAGGGGGTGGGAGAGAGAGAAAGAGAGAGGGGAGAGAGGGAGGGAGGGAATGAGAGAAAAATAAAAAGAGAAAGAGGGAGAGAGAGAGAGAAGGAGAAAAAAGCAGAGAGAAAGAGAGAGGGAGAAAAGAGAGAGGGAGAGGAAGTGAGAGAAAGTGAGAGTGAAAGGGAGAGAGGGAAAGAGGAAGGAGGAGAAGGAGAGGGAGAAAGAGAAAGAGAGAAGAGAGGGAGGGGGAAGGGTTAAAGAGAGAAAGATGAAGAGAAAGAGGGAGAGAGAGAGAGAAGGAGAGAAAAGGAGAAAGAGGGGAGAAAGAGAGAGAGGGAGGGAGGGAAAGAGAGAAAGAGCAAGAAGGAGAGAGAAAGAAAGAGAAAGAAGGAGGGAGAAAGAGAAAGGGACACAGACAGAGAGAGCCTCCAATTCACTGCCCTTGGTGCTGAGTAGAGAGGACCATGGGGACAGCTAATGCTAGATGACAAAAGGTGGGTGTATTAGTCACAAAACATTTGCTGTATTCCATCACAGCGGCGTGACAATCTTTGCAGCTGAGCCTGGCCAAGAGGACCTGTGACAAACTGTCAGTCTTGGCTTGGTGGAGCTTTCGAGCGCCAGTCACCATAGTCAGAGAAGATTGAAGTGACAGAGGCCCACTGAGTAAATGGTGAAACATGCCTCGGATTATGAAATATTCAGCCGGGGTGTAAAAGCTCTAAATGCTATTTTCAATTATTAGCACCACCTGCTTTGGCTGCACGTCGGTCGCACTAACCGCATGCTAATTGCCATGATCTGTTAGAGCAGTTAGAAGCGACAGCAGGAAAGGCAGACAAAGTTGCCCACTTCTGAAGGGGAAGCCAGACATGACTGTCCTGCCTCCCTTAAAAACAAGACCACCGCAAGGAGCGTATGAAAACAAGAAATGTTGCGTATCCACAATCTCAGCGCGCACTTTTCTCTCTCTCGAAGAAGAAGACCTTATCAGCTCAATAATATGACACCATCTATCTTCAACACAATTCTTTCAGCAGTTCCAACGAGGCTCCACACCAATTTGCACCATTCAGGTGACCCTGAGGACACAGCCAAAGCTCCAGGTGGCCTCAACGACCCTCTAAAAGGATGCAAATGACCAGCTGTCTGCAGGGAATATAATTCCTTCCATTCCCCACCATCCAGTCAGAGCTGAAGAAGCTCCTTGGATGAGAAGCGAAACATCTTCAGAAGAAAACCAAGGAAGTCCACTTGCCTCCTGAAAAAAAGCACCTTTGGGACAACCATGACCTGGAGGACTGAGAATCTCTGAACTAAGAAAAAAATGTATTTACTTTTGAGGGAAGGGACCTTTTTGTCTTGATTTTTTTCCCCTTCCAGTTCTGGTTGGTTGAGAAGTGGCTCTCAAAAATGCCCGTTTGAATTCATTGAGGGAATTTTAAAAGGGCTGCGAAGAGGCTGTTGCTCTTTAAAGTATAATATAAGCTTTCCCGCAGCAAGTTTTGCTGGAAAAGGAATTTGTGCTTTTGCTCGAGGCAGTCTTTCTATGAGTTATAGCATTGCGTTTAGTGTGGCTCTTGAGCTTCGTTGATCACGAGCTGCATTATCTGCTCTGGAAAACTCGGAACATTTTTACTTTCTTCTCTGCCTGAACTTCTGTGTGCATAATTTTGGGTAGACGTACAGAGGAGCGGTGAATATCTTTGGAGTTATAGCTAAGAGAAGAGTACCTTGGTTCGATTTTCTAAAATGCAAGCATTCCATTGCTTTGGGTTTATTTCTGTGATGAATCCCAGGGTGGGATACAAAATAAACACAGTCACAAAAACAGGTGAAGCCCCCTTTATTCCATCACTTGGCTTCAAAGCTCCAAATATCCTTGACTAGAGACAAAAAACTGCGCCACAAGCAGTTACGAAAAGGAGGAAAGGCCGTTTAAACTAAAAATGCCTATAAATTATAAAGAGTAAAAACAACACAAACCACACTGAAGCACTTAAGGGAACCAGGCAAGATAAGGGCTGGAAGACATCCACAGATATCTGAACACACACTGGGAAGGACGCCAAACTCAGAGAGGAATGACAGACTAGAGATATTTCCATGCTTTGTTTCCAGCACTGGCCCATATGCATGTCCGTCCTTTTAACCAGTTCTCACAGCTGCAGCCCATGAAGGGGATCAAGGCCCTTTCCTCCCCCGTAGACCATGCCATTCGTGTTTCTCCCTTATCCTCTCCTCCCTTGTGTGCCCTAGGATGGAGAGGGGATGGGCCTGGGTCTTCCTCTGATTGCCCAGCCTCCTCCACAACCTCCGGGGGCCACACTTCCATTCCGTGCCAGCTGTTCCTCCTCTCCCTCAGAGTCAGACTCCAAAAGGGGCGTGACAATTTCTTTGCACAAACCTGAGGATGTTGCGGTGCATGGAAAGCCAGCACTGTCTTCCTTTCAATGTTTTTTTTTTTTTATGCACTATTTATTCTATACAAATAGAACCTTACTGCCCCCCCTTTTTTGTTTTTTTGTTAAATGTCTTTAGAAAATCAGAAAAGGCATCTCTGCACAGAAGCAATCTCTATTCCGGATCTAGAGGCAGTTAGGAGGAACTCTTTCAAAATATTTAACAGAATAACAGAGTTGGAAGGGACCTTGGAGGTCTTCTAGTCCAATCCTCTGCACAGAGACCCAGTAGCATTTCAGACAAATGGATGTCCAATTTCTGCAAGCGTTCTTCACGTTTTAGCCTCCAGCCCCCTAATCACCTCAACTCCCCTTCTCTGCACTCTTTCCAGAGTCTGTACATATTTTTTATATATATAACATGGGGACCAAAACTGGTTGCAGTATCGTCTTAGTAAGGCTTTATAAAGTGGTACTAATACTTCATGTGATCTTGATTCTATCTCTCTGTTAATGCAATGTAGGATTGTGTTGGCTTTTTTGGCTGCTGCCCCACCCTACTAGGACTTCAATATCCAAGTCTAGTGAAGAGAAAAAGCAGGGGAGACATGATAGCAGTCGTCCAATATTTAAGGGGCTGCCCCAGAGAGGAGGAAGGGGTCAAGCTATTTTCCAAGGCACCTGAAGGCCAGACAAGGAATAATGGATGAAAACTGACCAAGGAGAGATTCAACCTGGAAATAAGGAGGGATTTTCTGACAGTGAGAACAATCAACCCATGGAACAGAAGTTGTCTTTGGAAGTTGCGGGAGCTTCATCACTGGAAGCTTTCAAGAAGAGACTGGATTGCCATCTGTCAGAAATGGTGTCAGGTCTCCTGTTTGGGTGGGGGGGTAGTTTCGATGATCTACAAGGTCCCTTCCAACTCTGTTAATCTGTTAAATCCCTCTCACAATTACTGCTACTGAGCCAGGTTTCGCTTAATCTGCACCTGAACACTTGGTTTTTCTTGCCTCTGTAAAACCTTACTTTTTCCTATGCTGAATTTCATTTTGTTAGATAGGGCCCAGTGTTCAAGTTTGTTCAGATCCATTTGGATCTTGAGCCCATGTTCTGGGGGTTTGGCTGTTCCTGCCATTTTAGTGTCATCTGCACATTTAATGAATTCCCCTTGTATTCTGTCATCATTTGGCTATCTAACTTCTGGATCCAACTATCCATGCAGATCAGGGTAATGATGACAGAGGAGAAAGGAATTGCAGCAGCTCTTCTAATACAAGGTTGATATGAGGGCACTCATCCAGTAGCCTTTTTAACTGTTCAACTTCAGAAATGGCTTTTGCATTCATGCTTGCTAAAAGAAAGAAAAGAAAGCAAAAGCACAACCAACAACCCTGAACTCTAAAAACCTGTACATACTTTGTGGAATCTTTCTCTGGAACCACACAGCATTTGAAGAATAATACGACTGATTTCTGCTCTAGAATGCACACTCAGTTTGCGTAAGGCCTTGACTAGATCTGTTGCATTTGAGTACCAACTTTCAGAAAAATGAAAACATCTCTGAAAAAGCATGTATTCTGGATATGGATCTTGGTAGTCGGTTTGCTCTAAATGATGGAATTGAAAGCTTTGGGTTGAGGATCCATAATATAACTGAGCAAATTTTGAAATATTTAACGTACAGCCTATTAAAGTTTCAACAGAGTCACATTAGATATTATATGTAACAAAAGCAAAATATTGAGTTTATTCCCCCCCTCCCCTTATGGTGATTGATCAGGATGGGGTATTAGTTTCTAATTCTTCCCCCTCCCCTTGAAGATGCTACTATAAGCTGTTGTAAAGATTACTTGGGGCGGGGGAAGGGATATGTATTTCAAGATAAAAGAAAACCAACTGCGATTGTTCCTATTCATCAAAACAAGCAAGCAACACTAAGACTAGTCTCACATTTTCCTTGTTTCTTGAATGTGGGCATGGCCAAGCGTAGTTCATGTTTTACTCTTTGTGATGAATTGGGCTGATTATTAATTCCAGTGCATTTTCTTGCTCAGACATGATCCTTTATTAATCCCTGGCAATGAACAAGTTGACAACATGGATTGCAACGTGAAAAAATACGACTCCACGGGAATGTTTCATTGGTGTCCACCAAAGGAGATTGACAAGGTTATTTTGGTGAGTAGCTGAAGAAAAGGAAGCATTGCGATGTCAAGAGCCGTGGTGGCACAGTGGTTAGAATGTTGTATTGCAGGCTAATTGTGCTCGCTGCCAGGAGTTTGATCCTGACTCTGAAGTACCGGTTTTCCTAAAGTTAAGGTATTTACATGAAAACCCTTCTTCAAATTGCAGTTATTTTACCCTTGCATGCTTACCTTTACATAAACACAACCTCTATGTTATCACTCTTTTGTAATGATTCTTTCCTTTTATAAAGCTTCTTACAACTACAATCGAGTCCAAAATTTATGTTGACATTTGTTAAGTGAGCCACGGTGCTGGAGTGGTTAGAATGCAGTATTGCAGGCTAATTCACTGCCCACAGCCTGCAGTTCAATACTGACCAGTTGGAGGTTGACTCAGCCTTCCATCTTTTCTAGGTCAGTTAAATAAGGAGCCAGGTTGTTGTAGACAATAGGCTGAGACTATAAACCTCTTAGAGAGGGATGCAAAGGACTATGAAGCAGTATATAAGTCTAAGTGCTATTGCTATATTCTTTTCTTTTTTTCAAAAAGTTTTTAATTTTTTAATTTTTCCACATCTCTTTATGTGAGTAACATGGTTCCAGATTATAACACTTTTACATAATCATACTTTCATTTCCACCAATCTTATATAATATCACCTCAATCTATCTAATTTAATAATTCATTTCCCAACTTTAAGTATATTAACACTAAGTAATCAACTGTATATTTTACGACATGTATATTTTAAGGTATCCCCCCTTAAATTGCTAGAATGACTTCCTAGTACATCTCATTTCATCTTAACTTTTCTTTTAGTCCTTAATAATCATATTTTTTCCTTTTCTACTTAGCCAAAATTTATATATTTTAATACATTTCACTTTTCTTATAATCATTAATAATCATATTTTTTTTCTTCCTTACAACTTATCCAAAATTTGTCTATATATTTTAATATATTTCCATGACCCTGTTTTATTCCTCCAATATAAGAGTTCCTAAAAGCATAATTCATACACAGATATATATATGGTATTCAACTTTGTTCAGGTATTTCCCACGTCATTATAGTTGAGCTTTTAAAGTTGTAGCAATGTTTCGGCAGAGTCTCATCTGCCACCATCAGGCTTCAATATTGTGTTCGTCTGTGAGTCAGACTTTTACAGTTGTTTCAGTTTTAAATTTGGGGCTAGCCTACTGCTGCGCCAGAATGGTTTTTTCTTCATCCTGATTGGTTGGGAGTCTTGGTCTGTGTTTATTGGTCGTGGAGTTTGCTGTGTTCTGCTTGATTGGTGTTTCTAATATCTTCTTTCTGTTTTGTGGCTTTTTTTTTTTTTTTGTCTTGGTTGTCTGGCAACATTGTGTTCCTGTATTGGAGGCTTTTAGTGCAGCTGGGCTCTGAGTAAATGGACGGCTATCATTTGTTAGGAAGCTAGGTTTCATCTGGGTGCCTGGTTGGGGTGTGTTTGAGCTGGACATATCAGGGGGAGTCTGTTTGTGCCCAGGTGTTTGCCTGGCTCTGATAATTCTGTGGCTGGGGTTTTCTATAGTGGCTAGGGTTTTGGTGCCATTGAAGTCGATGCTATGACCTGTTGCTTTCATGTGTTGGACTAGTGAGGAAGTGTGTTCCAGCTTTTTTACTGCATTTTTGTGTTCATCCAGGCGGGTACTTATTCTTCTATTGGTCTGTCCAATGTATGTGGCAGGGCATGATGCACAGGGGACTTCATATATTGGTTTTCCAGGTCTATTTTATCTTTGGGGTTTCTTGGGATGGTTGCTATTTTTCTGTCTGTTTTGAAGGCAGTCTTGATGTGATGCCTGTGTAGTATCTTACTGATTTTGTCTGTAGTACCTCTTATGTAGGGCAGGACAGCTGTTCCATAGGTCTGGTCATCTTTTAAGTCTCCATTATGTCCCAGTGTGTTTTTGTGGATCAAGCCAGTGATTTTGCTTTTGTGGAAGCTGTTGGCTGTCAGTACTTTATTCAGGGTGCATCGTTCAGTCTTTATGTGTGTCTTGTCTGCCAGGCATTTGGTTCTGGCAATTAGTGTTTTGGCCATGGAGTTTATCCGTGCTGAGTGGTGGTGGGATTGGGCATTGAGGTAGCGGTTGGTGTGTGTTTTCTTCTGGTATATGGTGTGTTCTAGTGTGCCATCTGTTTTTTTGTAGATTAGTACATCTAGGAATGGTAGTTGTTTGTTTGTTTCCATTTCCATGGTGAATTTGATTTTGGAGTGTGTGCTGTTTAGGTGTGTTAGGAAATTGTTTAGGTTTTCTTTTCCATGGGGCCAAATAGCTCACAGACGAACACTATACAGAAGCCTGATGATGGCAGATGAGATTCTGCTGAAATGTTGCTACAAGTTTAAAAGCACAACTATAATGACGTGGGAAAATACCCAAACAAAGCTGAATACCATACATATAAATACCCACGAAAATTTAAGAATATATATATATATATTGGCTAGGTTTCCCCTTTCTAAATTTCCCCAATCTTTCTTCTTTTTCCCTTCTAGTTCAATTTTTAATTCCCTCTGCCCATCAGCCATGTCCCCCCACTTTCAGTTTTCTTTTTTGGAGTTTCTTCTTGTATATTTTCTTCTTCTTCTTCTTCTTCTTCTTCTTCTTCTTCTTCTTCTTCTTCTTCTTCTTCTTCTTCTTCTTCTTCTTCTTCTTCTTCTTCTTCTTCTTCTTCTTCTTCTTCTTCTTCTTCTTCTTCTTCTTCTTCTTCTTCTTCTTCTTCTTCTTCTTCTTCTTCTTCTTCTTCTTCTTCTTCTTCTTCTTCTTCTT